GGGGGGATTGAGATTTAAATTTGTTTTTAAACATATGGCCACACTGGCCGTGGCCCGTTATTGTTTTACAGCAGCCCTGAAGAGGCGTTTCCCATACATATGCGGATTACGGTGGCTTAGTACTTCTGCCTTGCAGGACTGGGGTTCTCTGTTCCAATCAGGACACTATCTGCATGTTCTCCCTGTGCTTGGTGGCTTTCCTCCGGGTACTCCGGTTTCCTCCCACACTCCCAAGACATGCTGGTAGGCTAATTGGCTCCTGTCTAAATTGGGCGTAGTCTGTGCAATAGGGACCTGAGATTGTTAGCTGCTTGGACAGGGACTGATGTCAGCACTATATAAATGCCTATAAAAGAAATATTTGTAGACCTTCTCTGCCGATACCTGGTGCTTCTGTGGTCCTCTACTGACTTTTTTGTCTGAGTCATCCAATCAGAGATGGGATAGGCAGGCTGGAAGGTACGTTGTGCCCTTTGACGCATAAAGATCCCTTCGAATGGTAAGACTTTTGTTCAGATGACTCCAGCGATGAGGCATTCCTTCAGCCGCACTCACCGCTCCGAGAGCAGGTCAGCCTTCCCCAAAAAGGTATTCTTGGCTCGTCTGCCATGACTCTGGTCTGATATCATCATCTGGCATCCAGCGTGTTTACTGCACTGCTAAACAGAAGCCTGGAGCCTCTACCGCTTACAAGTGAAGGCTGCTGATCCGAGGCCAACAGATGGATCACGTATCACAGAATGAGACTTCTGCAGCAAGAATCTGTCACCTACACACTAACCACAACCAGCCACTGAGAGGATGGCAAAGCTGGTGAGGCAGCAATAAGTTATCGTTGTAAACAAAACATAAAATTGCTATAACATGTGAGAAAATAGATCACAGCGCAACCCCTTATAAACCACTATGCAAAAAAAATAAAATTATAATAATTCAAAAAATAATAAAAAAATATTTAATCCTAAATAATAAAAAGAAAAATAATCCTAAAATTATATATACCGTAATTTTTTTTAAAAAATGTATTAACTGTTTATAGGGAGGTACGCTGTATTATTTTTTTTTCATCGGTTGTAAGGTAGTGTTGGACACAATTGTACATCTGCACTGAAATGGGTATCAAATTATTATTGATAATCTTCAGCTTATGTTTTGGGTGGACTAACCCTTTAAAATCACACGGCATGTGTCGGAGATGATTTCATTAGATCTGTACAGATTATAAGGTTGTCCACACACACACACACACACACACACACACACACACACAATGATCTGAACCTTCCGAAAGGGATCCCAAAATGAATACATTTTCCCCCCTTTAGAGATATTGCTAACCCTCTTACCCCTCAGGTTCATCTGGTGAGCTGGCATTCCATTGGCTTCCTCTTTACTCTTGTAACAACATATCGATGTGTCCTTAAATGTGCACCAGTACTGCTTGTAGCCCTTCAGAGTCAGTTTCTTTGGTCTGTGATACAGAAAAACAAAGCAAAAAAAAAAAAGTTAGCATAAATGTCCCCATTGCCCTGTTGCTTTTGTAAAGCCAAAGTTTAATCTGTTTTTATGTTGCTTTCTCTGGTCCCTCCCTCTCACACCATCAACATGATAATTACATTTTTCAATAAAGCAATTTTCATTATATACCTCATTTTAGACCCAGCGACATATTCACTGGTTCTCACTGCTTGTATATGCTATGCAGGAAAATCATTGGTGGTGGGAGGGGCCGGCAGGGGGCTGTACACAGCTTCCTGAAAACATCACAGCACCCTGCCTCAGTACTGATGTAAGCACTTGACTGGATCGTGGTAAAAAGTCCCCCAATAATAGCATTGGATTGGTGTCAGTGACTGCAAGAACGACCTTCAGCACTGGCATCAGTGGCAGTACAACTAATCCTCCCTCCCCTCAACATTGTTGGCCAGGAGCAGTGCTGTTAACCCCCCCCCCCCTCCGACTAGTGGTCAGTGCAAATGCTAAGCAATTCCCCCGCAATAGTGGTCAGCGGCAGTATTATTTAACCCCCACACAATGGTGGTCAGTGGCAGTTTTAAAAAAAAATAACCACCCCACAATGGTGGTCAGTGGTGGGATTTTTTAACTTCCTAAATCCCCCACCACCCCCAACATACACACTGGTGGTCAGTAGGAGTAATTTTTAACCGCCCCACCCCTTGGTGGCCAGTACAAGTACTACGTAAACCCCATTCCCCTACAGTAGTCAGCAGCAGTATTGTAACAAATAAATGCCCCCCCCAACATTGGTGGTCCCCTGATCACACTCTCCTGCACATCTCTTTCCCCTCATTAGACTGGGACTATACGTGTACTGTCAGGTGGAGATCACTCTGCATGTCAGTAGTGGTTTTGTTTCAGCATTGGATGCTGGACTACAAACTTGTACTTACTTAAATATTTTTAAGTTGTCAGTTAGTTCCGGTATGGAGGTTATGTCGCCCTGTGTAGAAGACAACCAACAGTTACATATGGGAATAAATTATAGAACGTGCAATCAAAACATCAATTGTGAAATCGCAATACACACATGGCTATATGCTGTGCAGATTCAGCCTCTTTGCTGGGTCTTCATAAAACACCTTGCAAACAACTGAAGAATCTGCAAAAAAAAAAAATACTTACCGGTCTTGTTGCTCGTTCCTTAAATCTTCTCAATCCAAAATGTATAGCCATTGGATCATGAGGCAAGGGGAAATCTCCCAATGGGGAAAACTGCCTAAAATGGGATTTTCCCTCACTTTGCAGAGACTTCCTGTCACTTCCTATTGTGTCTCAAACTGTATATGAAGTTTAAATCTCCCCAATGGGAAACAGGAAAATAGTTTTGCCCAGTGGTTAGGGTAAGATTCTTGAAAAATCCTACACTTGGTATTCGGCGTAATTTGGTTAATACCTCAAGCGTTACACATTCCCTCATCTCTCATTGAAGGATGTACTGTATGTGCTCTAAATTTCAAGCCTTGCCCGAAAATATCAGGTCATATCTGATCTACAAGATGGTGGAAGTGACATGTGCCTGGTAGGACTGAGCGAGGATTCTGATGTGCCCAGGAATGGCTGCAATCAACTATCACCTCACTCATCATTCCCCAAGGGATATCTGGCAGTATCTCCAATTGCGACCACCAGGCGGGTCTGGACCTCATTTTTGGGGAGTAGATCCAGTGTTTAGTCAATGGTATGTAGAGCTGCCCATCATTTAGGTCATCACAACATACAGGAGGTCAAATGTAGTAGAGCCACTTACCAAGATGGTGGACGTCTTTCCTCCTTCCAGAGTGATCTCCAGGTCAGAGAGAGCTGCGTCAACCTCATCGACTTCCTTATCGCTGTTATTGTAATGGTTCTCTGTAGCCATCATGGAGAGTTTGTTTATATGGTACTGAAATAAAACAAGGACACAGTTGAGTAGTCGTCATGGGGAAATTTTAGATTTTAGTATTCCTAACGACACAATAGATGTCAAAAACAACCACTATTAAAATGCTGATGTTATAACAGGATAGGATATGCTGGGACTTTAAAACTCCTTTGGGTGAGCTTTAAAGAATGCACTTATTGGTTATGGTTACCAGTGGCTTCAACAGCGACCTCTTCCTGTTTTGTCTGTGCTATGGAAAGCACTCACAAACAGCAATGCAGCATAGTAATACTATATGAGAGAGGACAATGATAAATTATGTTTTATAAATGAATATTTGCTTGAGATGCACTTTACCTACTCAATTTCCCATACTTACAGTATATACAGCGTTATTTTTGCATCCTAGCCATGGGCCCTATTGATTTAATGCATTTGCTTGTTAACAAAAATGGCCACAATGTTGCTGCAACTCAATACTTAAAGGCATGCATGGTAAACAAGCCCAGTTGGACAAAAGTGGGGAAGAGGCATAATCCAATTGACTTTACCCGTGGAAAATATTTGGGGCCTGGCATGGTGAATGCAGCATCTTAGAGATTGACCCGTTTGGATTTTCACACACACTACAGTCTCTGGAATTTACTGAGAACGGTGTAAACAGCCCAAAACATCCCGACAGCAGCACATCTGTGGGTGCAAAGCCTCATTAAGGAGAGAGGTCAGAGGTGAATGTCCAGACCTGCTCAAGAGGATAGCAAGTTCCCAGAAGCTCAAAGATCACCACCATATAGCAAAAGTTACCAGAAGGCCATCTTGTGACACTAAACTCAGAAATTAAATCTCAAAAAAACATTCCAAGTACCTTAACTATTAATAAAAAGGTATCTTATTTGTGTATCACTCGGCTGTAGATCCTTAAATCCTCTCTGAATTTGTGCCGACACTGTCCTTCCTTCTGGAGGGGGGCTACTTTTGTTCCCCATGGTCCCTGTGTGTGATGTAAAGTAGTCACCGCTCTAATCTTGCTCCCGTGATGGACTACAATCTCAATACAAATTAGTAAACTAAACATGAGATTGTAGTCCATCCCGAGAGAGAGCTTGGAGCGGTGGCTACTTTTGTTTCCCCATGGTCCCTGTGCATGTTGTAAAGGAAGGACCAATTCAGAGATGATTGGAGGATCTACAGCCGAGTGATACACAAATTAGATACATTGTTGTTCATAGTTAAGGTACGTAAATTTATTTTTAAGATTACACTCGAGTTTAGTGTCACTTTAAGGTAGAACATGTTGAACTTTAGAGAGCCTAGGCTACTGCTGCAGAAGACCACTACAAAGAGCCAAGATCAGATCATTCTAGGATCCGACAGACATGAAACAGGTTTCTTTATTGGCAGCAAATGCCCAAAAGAATATATCCACCGTGTACAGTTTACATGTTACCTTGCTCCTGAGATTTCTCCAGACTTCTACAGTTACAGTTATTTCAGAATGCCTAAGGCTCTTTGTATCTCCACTGTTTTCAGAGAAATCAAAACTTTCTAGCTGACCAGTAGAAGAGAACATTCACAATTTTTGGATGAGGGCCAACGGTTCTCTTTGATCTCATTGAGTCGAGTTGTATATTCAGGATTGCAACCCCTTCCCTCTTCTCATCCAACCTACACAACAGCTCAATAACAGATCGCTTTTCTGTTGTGTTTGCAGCTCACCAGCTTCCAGAAGAAAAGCACTTACAGATGTTGTTCTGGCCTCCCACCAGCCACAGGATATTGGACAATCCACAAGGTTGTTTTTTTCTTTTTTAAATCCTAAAATTAAAAAGACATCCCTACAGCTCCTCAGGGAGAGGTGGCCACTAGGAGTGAACACCTTGCACTAGCCAAGATAAGCAATATTAAAATGCATCACTGGCCAAAATATTTTTCTCAATGTTCAGGATAGAGATGGGAAAAGGAAGCAGGAGGATGAACCCATGGGGAACCAGGGGGAGAATGCAGGTTTTGAACATACCAGGCCCCCGGGGCAAGATATGAGCCAGGGATCCCCAAGGATGAATCAAGTACCCACTGCTCCAGATCAAGATCTTCATCTCTCTAACTCCTACT